TTAAGATTCAAGCTTATTTTTTTTATTATTGATTTTTTAATTATGATACATCTACAAATTAAAAATTTTATTTTACATACAGCCAGATTGCTCAAGAAGATTATATCGAAAGTGAAGGCAGCAGCGATCATTAGATGATAATCTAATTTACAAAGAAAATTTCGATCATTCTATAAATTCAACACGATTGTTTTAATGTGTGCAGAATATATATATAAACTTGTTCATTGTTATTATAATTTTTAAAATACAAATAAATCAGTTTTTAATGTTTTCAAACTAAATTGAAATTTGTTGATGGTTCTGAATTATTAGTCATGGAATCTGTATGCCATTCTTAACTAACAAAACGATTATTAACAATAATTACGTCCAAATTTAAAACATTTTACATCATTAATCAGTAAATTTCATCCGACCTTTTTAATATTTAAAAAATTAGATCAAATTTGTAAATGTCAACCTAAAAAACCTCTAGACTGTAAATGGCAATCAAATACGAATAAATTTGGAATATTACATTCATTATATTAAATTAACCATAACAAATTTTTCAAAAATTGATGTGATATACGTAATCCACGATCAAAAAAACCACTAAATACAAGTTTCAAGCAAATCCGATTGAAACTGAAATATTGCGTCCGCCATATTGGATCCGCTATTTTGGATTTCTGAAAACTGATGTCAGATTCGTAATCGGCGACCCAAAAAACCTATAGATAGCAAGTTTCAAGAAAAGCCGAACAAATTTTAAAAATTTTGTCCGCCATATTGGATCCGCCATTTTGAATTTTTGAAAACTGATGTCAGATTCGTAATCGGCGACCCAAAAAACCTATAGATAGCAAGTTTCAAGAAAATCCGAACAAATTTTTAATATTTTGTCCGCCATATTGGATCCGCCATTTTGAATTTTTGAAAACTGACATCAGATTCGTGATCAGCGACCTCAAAAACCTTAAGTAAACAAGTTTCAAGAGAATCCAAAAATTTGTTACATTTTGTCAGCCATATTGAATTCGCCATTTTGAATGTGCAATGTTAACATCAGGTTTTAATCAGTAAGACAAAGTCTTCAAGTTTAATTAATTATTTAGTTATTGCCGATGTTTTTCTTAGCTGTGCAGGCGAAAAATGATATTTTTCATAGAAAAACTTAACTTTATCGGGATTTTTAATAGGTTAGGAATTTTTTTTTCACTTTTTCCATATTTTTCCTGTATTCTGTAGGAATTATTCTTTTGTTTCCCGTTGGATTTATTAAAATTGATCACTTCTATCAAAAGTTCTTTGATTTTGACACAAAAAAGAGCATTTTTGCCCACTGTGTGGCGTCTCTCGCCATGCCGTCAACAAAAATTCTCAAGTGTAAAAATTTTCTATTTTACACAATTATCTCCTCTTCTCCCAAAGTCAAATACACTAATATATATCACAATAAATAATTTTCATATAGGGTATTATTAATTATTACAGGAAATAAATAATATGTCAATAGAGAAAAATATTCACATCAAAAATTCAACAAGTCAAAATCACAAATATATTTATTTGTCGTGTCTCAGAAATTTCCCAACAAATGTGCCCCACGTTGGGCGCCAATTTTATGACGATTGTTTTAAATAATAAATTCACTTTTATACAAGTTAAATAAATTATATTCCCTTATCAGTCATAAATCGAATTAGAGAACCAAACGTGATAGTCAGACGCCAGTCAATTTTTTTTTTTATAAAATTGACAAAAGTTAATATTCAAAATTTAAACAACAACAATACAATATTATCAACAATTTATCCCAAAGGAGATTCCGTCAGGAAATATAGAATTAAAAGGGAAATAATTAATTCTCTGAAACACGACTCTTATATCAATACAACACTTACTTTTCCTCATCCAATGAGAAGATCATTTAATCCGTCATAAGAGATGAATCCTTAAATGAATAGTCACCAATTTAGTACTTTCATAACTTTTTATTAATACTCTTATCAAATTCGTATCTTCTTTACACTTATTTCCATAATCACAGAATGATCACAAATCTCTCCTATATTCTAACTTCTACCGTCACTCTCTTACTCTTCTTGTACTCGTCTCATTATCGTCTGCTACAACAGACGCTCTTTTTCGCGCAATTCCCGTAGTCAAAAAAAAGGGAGTTTTCATTGCTCCTTTACGCCCTAAATCACCAAATTAGCGCGCGAATTTAAATGGTCAATTATCAAGGGACAATATAAAATAAAAATACAAGTACATTTGATGACTCTAAATTTGACAAAAATTGCTCCGTCACACTATATTTATAAAAGTAATTGAATCCTTCTAAAGAATGTTAATATTTATGAAAATAATTAAATGTTTGCGTAGAATTTTATTAAAACTTTTGAAATAATTGAATTCTGGAGAACAATTTAATTATTTATAAAGATAATTGAAACTTAGAAGAGAATTTAAAAAAAATTTTAAACATAATAAAACTTTTGCGAAAAATTTTATTACTTTTGAAAACATTTAAATTGTTTTTCAGAATTTTATGGAAATTTATTAAAATAATTGAATTCTTGTGAAGAATTTTTTTAAAAATAATATTCAAAAGAATTTAGTAAATCTGAAGAATTTTGCTATTTATGGAAATAATTAAATTCTTAAGAAGAATTTTTTTACAGTTTCTAGAAATAATTGAATTCTTTCGACGAATGTTAATAAAAAAATTTAAGAATAAATACATTTTTCGAGAAATTCGATTAAAATTGTATTAAAAATAATTGAAATTCTGCAATGAGTTTTACTATTTATGAAAATAATTAAATATATTGCGAAGAAATCTTTAAAAATAAAATTATAATTACGGTGACTAACTAACTTCCCTTGATTATTTTCGAAAAATTTAAATAAAATTCTTTAAAAGAATTTCATTATTTTTAATAGAATGTAAAGAAATTTCAATTATTTTAAAAAATTTCAATTATTTGTTTATAAAAATTCAAATATCTTGAAATAATAGAATTGAAAAATTTCAAGAACCTTATTTTTCATAATTATGAAAAAAACTTTGCTAAAATTCAATTTTCTTAAAAAATTCAAGTGTGTATCTTTTTTTAAATTAACTAATAAAAATTTTAATTATTAATCTTCGCACTAAGAAACATGAATACTGTTACGATCCTAATTATTATAATTTCCCTAATGTTTCCCGATTTTATTTTAAAATTAATTAAAATAGGGACGGGGTAGTAAATAACAAAAAATTACTTTAGTTGAACAAATGTATGTGTATTTTATGAAATAAGATAACATTGATGAAAATAAGAGATGGACACAGGCTTTCTAATGTGAGTCTTAGAGTGGTTGATTGTTTACCTTGGGACAAAGGGTGATGCTAGACGTTCAGGTATAATGGCACTGGTCCTTTAATAGTTGACTAATTGGATGCAGTATTGTGTCTCGAGAAACAGGAACACTCTTTTCAAATGGCAAATTTGACTTCCAGATCGACTTTCCAAAATGCACTTTTGAAATATACGTAGAGTAAAGGACAACTACTGAAACTGGGATTAGGGCACTGTGTCGTGAAGAACAACTTGTTATAGATAAAATTTTAAGACTGACTTGTGCAGAGCACCACTTCTCAATTTGAGACTTATAATGTTGACGACTACATTTTCTTGACTGCTTTTCTAGACTGATTTCTTAGACTGAACTGCTGTTGATGGTCTGGCTCTTCTTATACCCAAATTTTCCTGTGTATTTTAGAGTTTGTTCGACTTTTCATGTATATTAGGAATCGTTCGAGTTTTCATGTATTTTTCGGTTCGTTCGAGTTTCCATGCATTTTTAGAAACCCTTTGTTGCGGGAACACTTGTGGTGACTCACCATTAGATCGCACGTGTCCATTGTTTATTATTCATACGTTATTTTATAATGTTGTTATTTCCATTAATTGTTTATAATTTGTTGTTACAATTGATTGTTTATAATTTGTTATTACAATACATTATTTATAATTTGTTGTATTATTTGTTGATATTTATTATTACAATTTATTATTGTTTATTATTATTTCTTAAAGTTTGTTGTTAAGATTGTTATATTTAACTATTTATTACATTTTGTTATTATTTGTTAATATTTATTATTACAATTTATTATTGATTATTATTAATATTTATAGTTATTATTTATAATAATATGTAAATAACAATTTTGTTATTAACTTTTATTATGATTATTACTATTATTATTAATTATTATTAATATTATTAATTAACATGATTATTATTATTAATTATTAAGATTAATTATTATTCTACATATTATTATTGAAAATAGGTTACGGTGACGTAACAATACCTTAGAATGTGACTCTTTATAAAATTCAATTATTTATCAATTATTAAATTAAAATACTTTGAAAATTAGATTTGTTAAAAAGTTTTTAATGGAATTTTCTAGCAAATTTAATTAGGTATTTTCAGTTGAATTTCACAAAATTTCTATTAATTCGGTAATTTTTTTTAAATTTATTTACATACTATATTTGAATCAGTGACTGGTTTTTTACTATGAAATTAATTATTTTTAACTAATTGAAATTTATAGAACAGTATAAATATCTATAAAAATTGAAAGCGATTTTTAAAAAACAAATTATACCTAATAATAAAACTTTTTTAATTTTGTGAAAAACTTCCCGGTTTGGCATTAAATTCATGGCTTATTACCGGTTTTTCCCGCCTATTTTCCCCAATTTTCCGGTTAGTAGACACCCTGATTAATTTGTTACAATTAAATTTATTTATTTAAATTGAATTAATTTATTTTAATTGAATCAATTTATTATAGTAATTGAATTAATTTATTGCAATTAAATTAATTTATTTAAATTTAATTAATTTACTATAATTGAGTTAATTTATTGTAATGAAATTAATTTATTATCGTATCATTTGCATTAAATATTGCAAAAGAAATTTATTTTTCTCCCTTCTTTCAGAGTGCTCTCGAAAATTACACGTTCCTGCCATTCAGTGCATTTCTAGCCATCTTTTGGATCTTTACGTACAAAAAGGTCCCGGAAACGAAAAATAAAACCTTCGAAGAAATTCTAGCATTATTCAGGCACAATAATGGCAGGTATGTTTACAAAAAAGAACCAAAAATCAAATACACACCTAATTCGTACAGTAATAAGGCAGTGATACCTTAGAATAAACAAAAAAAAAGTTTTTACAAAATTTTGACTTGCATGCGTAACAAAAAGTTTAGAAGAAAAAAAAATCAAGAAAACTATCAAAAAGTATCTGACAAGTACAGAGAAAAATTAACAATGTACAAAATTTACGTTTGCTTCAATTATTTTACCACTAAAATCGATAATTTACTTTTAATTTTTCGAAGTGACAAAAAAATTTTGTTTTTTATTAAACGAAATGTTAAGATGTTTTACTCTTTTTTTTAAATTCATTGATAATGTTGCACAATAATTTCACAAGGGAAGAAGAGAACAATTTTTACAATTTGCATTTAACAATTAATTTTTTAATTTTACAATTAATGTTATAATTAATATTCAAATATTGAAAATCAATAAATAGAATTTATTAGAGGTGTGCAAAAAGCTCTAATAGCATGGCCGAGCTCAAACCGGGCTCGATGTCTCGAGTATTATAAATTTTTTAGTGCTCAAAAAATTCAAGTGCTCAAAATTATTTTAGCTTTTATACTGCACGTTTCGGATTGAATTTGGTTCGAGTTCGGACTGATTCTGCTCAGCTCTGCTAGAAAAACGAAAAGCTCGAAAATACTCGATCGAGCATTATTTGCATACCTCTAGAATTTATGAATTCTTTTCAAGTAATTTAAAAAAGAATTTTATTCTACAACTAACGACACGATTTTTTTAAAGTACATACAAAAATTCCGTCCACTTTTATTCAAGTTATAGTTTTAAAAATTTATATTCACATTCAATAATATTTTTATTAATAATTTAAAAAAAAATAATTATAGTTTTTATGGCATTAGTATTATTATTATAATTAGGGGAACATAGTCGAGGTCGGCCCACTTTTTGACTTTTGTTTATAACTTTTTTTTAAAAATGAATTTGGACAATTGAAGTATATGGTTGGAAAGTCCTGTTTAATAGGAACATCTTTTCTGTACAAAGTAAATTGATTAGTTTTAAAATGAAAAAGTTATAAAGATTTAAAAAAAAAATAATTTTTAGTCCAGGTTGGTCCTTACAGTCAAGGTCGGCCATGTTTAAAATTCAAAGGGTATTAATCGTTAAAAAAATAAAATAACATGTTTGGAGTTACGGAAAATTGATTCTTTATTGTTTACAGTTTGTAACTTAATGAAATAACAAAATAATAAAAATAAACAATATAAAAAAATAAATATAAATAAAAAAAACTTTTGCACTGAAATATTAATAAAATTAAATAAAAATATTAATAAGATGATCAATTATATTATGAGTTATACAGAATTGCAGTTTTTGCAAATGAAGCAGCTCGTCCTCATATTTGCGCATTTTAAACACAAAGTGGCCGACCTTGACAGAAAGTAACATTACCGAATTGTTGTAACCAAAAAGAAATACGTTTCGGGATTCGATTTTTCACTTTGATTTTCTTTCAACAATGAGTTTCACAAAATTTCTGCATGCTTGCCTTGACGATTCAATTTTTTTTTAACTTTTATTAATGATTTTTCACATGATGCACAAAACTTTTTTTGAGCTTTTTTTTGTACCGACGTCACAGAAAACACAATTTTCGATTCTCCGAAAATGTAATTGAACAAAAAGTTAGGTTTTACTAAGACAAGCTTCGACAAGCATGCGCGTAGGTGGCGCTAGTAAACTTGACAAAAAAACATGAATGGCCTACCTAGGCCATTCAGAATATTGATACAATGTTATGAAATGAAGATATATCGTCAGGTTTAATGCGTAAAGAACGCACAGTTAATATTATTAAGAAAAATAAAATAACTAAAATAATAATAAAAATTAAATTTATACTAACAAACTTTTAATTTGTTTTAATATTAATTTAAATATCTAAATAAAATTTTAGTAATCTAAATTAATTATTTTCTAATAAAGAATTAAAAAAAACCTTTCCATAATTTTATCATCACAACGATTTTTCATATAGGGTCATTTGGGGTAAATGTAAACGGAATATCTATTTTTCACGAAAAACATTAGTTTTTTTTGTTAAAAGGTAAAACGGACGAATTTATTTTGCATGAACTTGTTACTATAGAGTTCCCTAGAAAAATTTGATGAGGTACAAAAAAATATTGATGCACCTGAATCGCCTAAAACTGACTGTTTACATTCATCCCGAGATTTTGAAATTTTCCTAAAATTCAGGGTAAATGTAAACACCCCCACAGGCGGAAATTTCCCACTGGCAGGGTACCGCGCCTGTACAGACGTCGGTAAGACTGTACTGGCATGGGTCCGCCTGACGACCGGAGCCGTGCAGACATTGTACTGGAACCTGACAATGTGTTGTAGTGGCTGCGCGCCTGGCTCGGTACAGATTTGATGCCACCGAACAACCGGCGTTGTACCGGCATTCGTCCGTCTGGCAACCAGGACGGGCCAAATTTTGTTTCGTAAGATGACTATTTCTACTGGCGTTCTACTGGCATTCGTCCGCCTAGCAAGCGACGCGGGACAAATTATATTCTCTATTGAAAAATAAAATAAAAAAAAAATATTTAATTAACTATGCATGGTGCATGTTAATTAACATTTATTTATAGATCATTTGAAGCATTTTTTACACATTTAACATTTTTTTTACACATTAAAATTCTAAACGCTCGCAGTGGGATACGAAGCCCAAGCCTATCCTAATCTACGCACCGAAGTCTAATTATATTTAAGCCTCGTCTTCGAGATTTGAACTTGTAGTAGTCCGCCGCGCGGCCAGATGTCGTCACACTTTTAAAGCCAGTAAAAAAAATGGGGAGAGGAGACCTCTACGACGCCATCTTTATGATTTTCATTGTCCTTTTTGTGTTCAGATGAATCACATGTGTTAGCCAGTTTTATCGAACTATTATTCAAGTATAATCCTTAATTCTACAATTAAGATGGGAAAACATAAGAAAAGAAGCCGTGAAGATAAAGAAATCGACAAGGAAACTATATTACGCAAAATACAAAAACTAACTGATCAAGTTCAACGTTTTTTCGACGATTCCCCACGCGAATCTCAAGGTAAGTTTTCTTCCCCTTTTAGTTAAAATATTTTTTTTATGAAACGAGATGCTCGTGTTCGATCTTTAAGACAAAACAAAGAGCAAATCTCGTGGGGTATAAACCCCTTTATAGGCAGAGCATATTCCTTGAGAAAAGACTCACAGACCTAACCTCTCTTTTTTCTTTCTGTTTGATAACCCGTAGATCAGAATAACAAGGAAAATCTTTCGGAAAATAATACTGAAAGATCGGATTCATCAGAAAAAGATCCTGAGAATTTAGAAAAAGAAACCGGCTTAAAGCAAAAATCCATAGCGTCAGACGCACAAGTGCTCGACACAAAATCTCCTTCTCCGCCGTCGTCGGAAGACAACACACCGGAGAGGAAGGACTCTACTTCTACCACAGAAGCAGAATCAAATGATCTCGATCCAGAAATACTGCAAGTTTTGGGCGCTGACCCTTCTAAGCCAAAAATCTCAAAAATCATTCTTCAAGATGATTTACAGTCTCGTTGGAGCGTTTGGCTTTCTTCAGAAATTAAAAAAGAAGAATTCGAAGAATTGATAAATGAATATCCGCGTGAATCTGAAAAATGTCGCTTTGAAGCACCAAAGTTGAATCAAGAAATTGCAACTATGTCCACGGAGGCTCTTATCTCAAGGGATAAAAAATTCATAACCTCCCAAAACATGGCAGGTTCTGCACTGGTTGCATTAGGAAAAATTATGACCCAAGTACATCGAGGCTTTTCTACCACGAGAAGAGCTTTTATTTCACCAAGTTTAAATAAACAGATTCGAGGAGCTTTAGAAGCGACAATACCAGACGAATTTCTTTACGGGTCAAATCTTTCAGAGAAAGTCAAAGAAATCAAAACTATGGTAAAAGTCAGCGAAGAATTAAAAGTTTCATCCACGAACAAGACAAAACCAGGGAATTTAAACTCCAAAGGCCCGTTTGTGAAATTCAAGAGGCCGCAAACGGGCTCCAAGTCCCAAGAAGTGCAAGGACACAAATGGAACCACAACAACAACAAAAGTTCCTACCCTCGGCGCAAGAACTTCAATCAGTCGACGCCGAAATCGCATACAACATCACAAGAAGCGAAAAAATAAAGGTAAAAGCTGGAAATGTAAAACAATTTTTGCACGCTTGGAAATCCATTACCTCGGATTCCTTTGTTCTTCAATGTATTACCGGATATAAAATTCCTTTCGAAAAAATCCCTTATCAGGAAAAAATTCCAGCAGATCCTAACCTAAATGATACTGAAATAATCCAAATGAGGCACGAAATACAAAATTTGTTAAATGTTAAAGCGATAGAACGCTGTACTCCTCTTAAAAAACAATTTCTGCCATCCTATTTTTTGGTCGACAGACCAAATGGTAAAAAGCGCTTTATTTTCAATCTCAAAAAATTAAACAAATTTATAAATACGGTTCATTTCAAACTTGAGGATCTTAGAACAGCAACTAAATTAATTTCTCCTGGTGCCTTTATGGCAAAAATAGATCTCAAAGACGCCTTTTTATCAGTTCCAATATGCGAGGAAGACAGAAAATTCCTTAGATTTTCTTTCGAAGGTGAATATTACCAATTTACTTGCTTGCCTTTTGGATTATCGATTTGCCCTTTTACATTCACAAAAATAATGAAACCCGTTATAAATCATCTTCGATCTCAAGGTTTAATTTCCTCAATATATCTGGACGACGTTCTGTGCATAGCACTTACATACAAACAATGTCAGCTTAACATTCAAAAAACTATTAACCTTTTAGAAAAATTAGGCTTTTTTGTTAATTACGAGAAGAGTGAACTGATTCCGTCCACTCGCTGTGAATACCTTGGAATTATTATAAATTCTGAAAATTTTTCATTAGAACTACCTCAAAGAAAA